TTAAAATTAAAATTAAAATTAAAATTAAAATTAAAATTAAAATTAAAATTAAAATTAAAATTAAAATTAAAATTAAAATTAAAATTAAAATTAAAATTAAAATTAAAATTAAAATTAAAATTAAAATTAAAATTAAAATTAAAATTAAAATTAAAATTAAAATTAAAATTAAAATTAAAATTAAAATTAAAATTAAAATTAAAATTAAAATTAAAATTAAAATTAAAATTAAAATTAAAATTAAAATTAAAATTAAAATTAAAATTAAAATTAAAATTAAAATTAAAATTAAAATTAAAATTAAAATTAAAATTAAAATTAAAATTAAAATTAAAATTAAAATTAAAATTAAAATTAAAATTAAAATTAAAATTAAAATTAAAATTAAAATTAAAATTAAAATTAAAATTAAAATTAAAATTAAAATTAAAATTAAAATTAAAATTAAAATTAAAATTAAAATTAAAATTAAAATTAAAATTAAAATTAAAATTAAAATTAAAATTAAAATTAAAATTAAAATTAAAATTAAAATTAAAATTAAAATTAAAATTAAAATTAAAATTAAAATTAAAATTAAAATTAAAATTAAAATTAAAATTAAAATTAAAAATAAAAATAAAAATAAAAATAAAAATAAAAATACAAAAAATTAAAAATAAATATCTTTAATAATATTAAAAGTAAAAATTAAAAATAAAGAGTGATTAGCGAAATCCTATAAGTTTGCGAAACTACCATAGAAATGTAATCAGATAAACGTAAACATTTTCCAACAAAGGCAATAACAACAATATCCGCTGCAGTAACAACAACAAGCAATTCAGTCACTGGCTTGTGCCGATTTTAAATATTTTGAACAACTCATTTTAATCTCAAACCAAACAAACACTTTTAATGCAGTCTACGAAATTTGTTTTTGTCGCTTTTTTCTTGTTGTTGTTAGTGGCGGTATATTGCAATTATATTGCTTGCTGCTCGCCTCTGACAGTGATGGAGTGTGTGAAATAACCACAACAGCACCATCAACAATAACTACACACATATACAGTTACATATATAATACATATAAACTCACATACACTCTTAGATACACACATACATTCATACACACATACATTCATAGAAGAATTGATACAAATCTATGTAAAGTTTGACGACTCTTGGTGTAAGTGGACCAACATCATTTTGCCACTACAACCCCAAATACATCTATGTGTATATTATATGCTTGTGTGAGTATGTGATAGTCACGTTGCTGCATTGTGCAGACCCTGCCATTGTGTCCATTGTGTTTGGTTAAAACTTTTCACCAGTGGCAACCGATTTCGAATGACCAACATAAGCAACGATTTGCTCTTTATTTTTATTGTAGAGTAAAAAAAAAAAATAAATAAAAAAATAAATAAAATAAACATACTAACTAAAGTTTAGCTAAGCGTTTGGCAGTGATTTAGTCATATGTGTATGTGTGTTGCATGTGTTGCATGTGTGAAGACTAAGCAGTTGTTGAACGAGTTGTGCATAAAAATGTTGATTTTTGTACAAACTTTGAAAGCATTTTAAATTCTTTGTATTTTCTGCTGAATTTCCATAAAGAATTCTATTTATTTGAAGTCTAAAACTTCTTAAAAAAATATCTTGAGCACTTCGCTCTATCTCTGCTTTCTCCTCCGTATTAATTCCTTTATCCGAGTAATATTGTTTTTGTTAAAAAAATAAACTCACTTTCCATATGTAGTTGAAACGCTTAAAAATCATTTGGAAGCTACTACGAAATTGTCCTTGATTAGTTCGAATACTGCTCGAACATCAATTCCAACCACGATTCTCTCTAAGTCTTCCTTGCCACGGTGAAAGCTGAAGAAAATTTAAATTGAGAACTTCTAATTCTAAAGACGTCCAAAGCAAATGTACAAAGGACCACTATTTAAGTTGCCGTTGCCCAGCTGTTTGATGTGAGGAATGTAATCCACTGGACAAGTACGGAAAAGGGTAGTTCTTGAGACATACAAGTATAAAACCACAGCGATCTGATAAGGTAGTCCAAATTTAGTGGCGTACTTAAGGTGAGCACAAGATTCTGTCGCTGAGTACTGGCGTCTTGCCGCAGTCCACTTCAAAATATCGCTGATTTTTGCCTACACTCCGACGAATGAGATAGTTGATGCCCAATATTCTCATTATAGAAGAAAATATTGCTGCTGTAGCTCAGAGTGTGCTCGTAAATTCATAAAAATTAGCTCGACTCCGTTCGCAGGAGGCAACGGCATCAGGACTTAAAGAGTCCAATGGGTGTAAGAACTGCAGCCTCGCGACCGACCGATGCGATTTCGATACACTCAATGGGTAGAAGTGCGATTGACAGGAGATGAGCGTTCCTAACGACTCATCAAGATTTCGATTTAAGTGAACTGCGAGACTTCCTACATACTATCGAAACTATTGATTTACGAAATGATTGACAGAAAGGCGAGTGTGATAATGATCTTTCCGCCGCATTGGAATGAAAATAACCGTCTTTCGGGAAATCTTGTGATCGGTCAAACATCTGCCATGTTGAACAGCAATAGAGAGGAGGCGAAATAAGTGAATGTGAAGTTCTGGGGGATGACGGCTTTCAATGAGTCAACGTTAGAATTTTTAAGAGACCGATTTTATTGTTGTATTTTGTGCTTTTACTTTGAAAACAATCAAGCGGTTTTGATATAGTCTTACATTTTGAGAGTTACGAATTACTACTGGAAAGATCAAAACCTGGTTTCACTTTGTCCTGGTGACAGTAGTTGATTCCAAAAACTGAAGCTCATTGAGATGTTTTTTCAGTCCGAGATCGTCAATGACGGTTTACCCTCAGTTAGGACGATGAGTTGTACGCATTTTATTGTTAATTTGTTATATAGACAAGCGAATTTACATATATAAATATATATAATTGGTGTTTTGCGAGCGACCGCAACTATATAAATCAAACTTGTATACTGGTCGAAGCAGACTCGAACCCTGTCGTTCACAATGACAGTACGAAATTCTAACTGGGCTAATGTGGCCGCGTCAACACATAATCTCACAAAAAGTAGTCCAGTAAAGTAAATCGCACGATCTTGAAGACCATGTCAGAAGCGAGATAAAGCGCTCACCAAAAGTTCCCTTCAATGAATTGTTAGCTTTGAACGGCTGTATGGCAAGTAGCGCTGTCTTGTTGAAATCCAAGTTCGTCTATATGAATATTTTTCAATGCACGCACGAAAGATATATTAATCATGGCTTTGTAACGTTCCACACCGACTGTAATATCATGACCAGCTTCATTTTAAAAGAAATATAAAGCAATGTTTGCCACTGTCCTCTGTAGAGCGCAGCAAACATTAACTTTTTGAGCGTCTCAACAATACCTTTGGGTTTACTCAATCAAAAGTGAGCTTAACAAAATTTTCTTGTGCAAAATCGGGTCGGTGGCATTCTCATTTTGAGTTCACCGAATCTGTGACGCGCTTGATTGATAGTCGTTCGACTACAATTCAGGAATGAGTTGGATTTTATAAGTCCGCCAGCCAGGATTTTTTTGCAAAATCTTTCAGAAAGTGAATGGGCACAGCTCTAACTGATACGCGCTTTAGGGTATGGATGGGTTCATTCGGTTTTTCTACGAAATTCTGCTTCACAGATGCAATTGTGTCTTCGATGTGCTTTGTACGGCGTCTCCAACTCGACCGACTCTGCTAGGCGATATATTGGACGTAGCGGGCGATGAGTCACGTAAGCCGGACCATTATTTTGGTATTCAGTTTCTACGATTTGCAAATGTAGTTCCGCTGTATGTTGGTTTGTTCTTTAAAAGCTGTCAAAAAAACCACCTCCTGACTAAGTATTGCCTCATTGAAAACCACACGTCAAAGAGACACCCTTCACGAGACTTTTTTGTCATAATTTTCGGAAAAAAAATTTCCATCTCCCACACACATATAGCCAATTATTTGTGATTTGAGCAAGCAACTCGATCAAAAATTTAATAAAACCGCAACAACAATGTTAAAATAACCAAAACTTCATAATTATGCCTTCACATTGGACTGTGTGGTCATGTTGTTCATTCTACGGGTAAACAGTTGGCTGAAATTGCATTTGAAAATATGTTGCTGGTGACTAACAGTTTACAAAAAAATAAAAATAAAATTAAAAAGAAACTTCAATGCCGTTATAATCTCTACACTGACCACACAGCAGCCTCTCTACACCTTCTCCTCATCATATTTTCTACAACCAATAATTCTGTTAGCTCAACTCTTCTGCCAAGCTAAAGTTTTTCTACCACGGAAGCGGAAATTTGCAGTTTCTGGATGCTCATATTTGTATATATGTATATATATATCACGTATTTATATATATATATATATATTTTAAGCTCGAAGCAAATTTCCCGAAAATTTCGTATTCCTTTTTTATGGGTTTTCGCAAAAAGTTGTGAAATTACTTTTATATAGTATTCGTGTATGTAAGTGTGTGTGGATTTTTGTATATTTTTGTGTTTTTTTTTGTTTTGCGTAGAGCAGGCATAAGACACTTTCTAAACTCTGTAGCCATCCTTTGAATTACCGCAATTAGTATGTTTGGTTATTTGTGTCTAGAGATTTTTTCTTCTCGGCTTTTGTTGTTGTTTCGTACTAATGTCAGTGTGTTCATATATATGTGCTTGAATGTTTGCATTTGTGTGTGTGTTGTGTGCTTGTGTATTTTTAGTCATCGAAACTTGAAACTTTTAAATTTTTAATGGCCAACACTGGTGCATAATTGCAAGTTCCACTTTGCAATTCAATTTCAACTTTGTCGCTCATTTCGTTCATTTATTTGTTATTGTTGTTTTTATTTTTAGTTTCTCCTCTTTTAGTATATTTAATAGTATAATAAGCTCACTAATTTGCCAAACATTTTGAAAACTGTCATTATTTACATTGGGACATTTGCTAATCCTCTCACTCTCTCTCTCTTTTTTTTTACAGTGCATGAAAGCTTATGTGGACTTTGAAATAACCGAAGGCGCTTACGAGATCTCGTGTCCCGATGCCCAATGCCCGGCGCAAGGTATTATGACACTACACGAAATCGCTAATCTAACGACGATTAATTTAATGAAGAAGCATCATCGATATCGACTCAATAAAGGTGGGTTTGCATTTCATAAAAAAAATATATAAATGTATATATATATATATATATATATATATATATATGTATGTAGAAAAATCCTACGTGAAACTAGTTAGAGTTACTCGTGTATTTCGATGGTCGAATATTTTTTATTTAATATTTTTATATAATATCTATGATAGATTGGTCGAGTAAAAAGTAGTCCATTATTTTCTGGTAATTTTGATGTAAAAGATGCTCCACGGCCGAAAATTTCGATAAACAATTCGAAATCGTTCAGCCTGACCGTCATACCGACAGGCACACTTTCCAGTGCCCAAGAGCTTACCTCATTAGTTTGGAGCTATTTGAAAAAGGCTGCATACACAAAGTAACTCTATGGTGATAAAAATCGATCCATTTCTGATGTGGATGGTGACTGGTGGCATAAAGTTGATTACTTACAGCAACGTCAAATGATAAAGGGTCATGGTAGCAGGGCAGTGAGCCAGGAGCGATTGATGGTCAGAAAGATTTTGTTGTTTACTTTGAGGGGATTGGCTAGAGATCATCTTTTATGGGCTTCTTCACTTGCAGCCAAACAATTCGTACTTGTACTGTCAGCAGTTGGATCGTTGGATCAACGGGAGAGGAATTGTGTTTCATCAGTGCAACGAACATACACATCGATGATGACTCGCCAGATGCACCAGAGCTTGGTTGGGATACCATTTGTTCTTGTCTTCTTTTTTTTCTTTTGCCAATATGGACAAGGATTTCTATCACGAAAATAATATAATGACATAAACTTCAAGCGGTGCATATTTGACCTAAATCGGATCATTTTAACTGTAGTCAAAAAGCCTTCAACTTAATGCAATTATAAAGTACTTTTTACTTGACCTATTAAATAGAAGCGGATTCCCATACGTGAACTTAACCAAAAAACATTCATACTCTTGAGCCCTCTCGTTCCAATGTTTATGTTACCTTAAGTGAGCCAAGAGTGATACCAACTAATTTGTTGTCAAATTTCGAGGCGCTCTTTTGCAGTCATAGAAATCGATGCCTTCTCATAACTCTGAACAATATGCTTTCTCTAGTTCAGTTTTATGTGCGGAATGACTCCTACAAACTTCACTTTAGCTCCCAAATTGATATGAACTCCGTTTAGGAATGGTGACCTAATTGACTAATTGACTAATTTACTAATTTAATATCGTGCGAAGTATTCCCTGCATCAGGTCACATATGTTGTGTGGAAACTTGCCTTCGAAGGCTATGGGTATGTCCTCGGCGCAAGTTGCAACCAAACCCACCTCTTCATTCTGCTCCAGTATGAAGTGAGTTCAACGTGAGATCAAACTTATTTTTGCCAAACAAATTATTATTCAATTCAGCTCAAAGTTTGGCCTTAAACAAGACTCCAAAAACTGACTCATTAACTTCCACGCTTCTGCACCATAAAGCAAGGCGGGAATGAGAAGCGCCTGTAGATTTTTTTTTTTTTTGTATCTAGAGAGGGCTTTACTTCTAAATGTCTACCCTACCTATAAGTGGCAGCTGTAAGGAAGGGTGTTTCTGCATTGGATATTAAGGCTTCATATAAGATCATAATAATATGACAATTTAGTAATTAGACTGATTCCATAAAAACAGTAGATTTCAAAATTATTCTACAACTCTGTCATCCCCTTCAAAGTGGACCGTTTGAGCAGCTTTACAACTATTCCTGCGCGTTTTCCATGCTTCGTAAGATTCCTGGAAAGCTTCGAGTAGAATGTCCGCAAGTACCCTCGTCACGGCCGCTTGGATGTCCTCAATCGATTCAAAATGGGCTCCTTTGACCAACGGCTTTTTTCTAGGGTATAAAAAAAGTCACAGGGATATATATCGGGCGAATAAAGCGGTTGTTGCAACACGGCGATCCCTTTGAAGACACGCTGAGGGCGATGTGGCACGGCGCGTTGTCGTGATGAAGGATCTAGTTACGAGCGTTGTCTGGGCGCACCCTGTTAACTCGTTTTCGCAATCTTTCGAGTCTTGGTAGACTTGATTTATGGTTTGCCCCGGTGGAAGAAATTCTTTGTGTACGATTCCACGGCTATCAAAAAAGGCAGTAATCATCGTTTTCGTAGCGAGCACCACGAACACAAGTTTATTCAACACGACACAGCAGGCGAACTAAACAAGCTAGAGCAATGGCAAATATATCATTGGAGAGGAGAAGGGAGAGGGAATTTCAAAGTCGTAGGATTACCACAATCGCGGCAATATTATCAGTCTCATTACTCAATTGTCACACCTCGTAATGCTTAAACCAATGTTATTACTAAATATTGCTCTAAGCAACTGAACATCCCATTAACAAGTTCCTTATTGCCACAGGCATACCAACGGCGTGTGTCTCCGCTCATATATACCCATCTGTATTTCGCCCACAGTTCTGGAAAGTTATAGTGATGGAACATATGACTTATGCTCTTTAAAACATGCTATAATTATCGATCTCTCCCTTTCATACTTTTTTTTGTTACTTTTTATTTACTATAATATTTATTATTGCATATGTTTCAATAATGAAAGAAATGCATTAAAATTATACATTTATCTTTTTTCAATGAGAAGAATTGTTTTTTTATTAGTAAATAAAATATTATTTATACTTTGCTTTATCTTTCTACCACTCTTGCAGAAATCGAAATGGATAAGACGCGCACCTGGTGTCCGCGTGCGGGCTGCGAAACCGTGTGTCTCGTCGGTGTTGGTCCACATTCCGATGCTACACCATCCACTTCGACTGGTGGCGGCGGTGGCGCTGGTAGCGGCGGCGCGACACACACAGCAACATTCACAGACAGTCATGGCATGCAACAGCCACTCTGCGCCGTACAGTGTCCATCGTGTAAAGATGAATTTTGTTCGGCCTGTAAAAAGGCGGTAAGTAAGACAAATATACATACGGACATATAAATCTGCATGCTTTGGCTGGCAGGTGTATAAGGCATAGCATTTATTATTTATTTATTTATTTTTCCTCTTTCTTGCTAAAGTCTTAACATTTTTCCTAACTTTCTTCTTCTTATTCTTCTTCTCAGTGGCATCCCAACATGACTTGCGAGGAGAATAGTCGTCGCTTGGTGGCAGATGGTCAGGACGACATTGGTATACCCTTCGACAATGACCTCATCAAGTGTTGTCCCATGTGTGCTGTGCCCATCGAAAAGGATGAGGGTTGCGCGCAGATGATGTGTAAACGTTGCAAGCACGTCTTCTGTTGGTACTGTTTGGCCAGTTTGGATGTGAGTATACGAGCACATAACAAATACACTTAAGTAGTAATAAAACTTAAATATTTAACTAAAATTTGTAGAATTTTCTGTTAGCTTTCGCAAAGTGACCCAAGACGATAGTGAAAGTAATGGTTATTAGTTGAGTTATCTGATGAGCATGTTGGTGGGCGTGAATTGGGTTCAGCATTTTTGTAGAACGAACTCCATTTTTTATTTTGTAAAATAATACCCCGCGGATGTTTAGTCACCCACTAGACCACAGTCGCGTGATTATAGTTGAATTAACAAAACTGCCAAGTGAAACCATCCATCCGGAGGACATGATCAAGCCAGCGTAGCCGTTGTCTCTTGATACGCTGAAACATGTCATGCCGACGCAGAGAACCAAAAGTTTCATGGAGCAGGTAGCTCTCGCTGACTCCTAAATCCGATTCATTAACGTCCACGCTTTTTCTCTAAAGAGGGGGGTGAAAATTATGAGCATCTGTTAGGAAGGGTGTTACTGCATTGGTATCAAGGCAGTTCTCAAGGCCGATACCATTGGATGATCGACCAATCGACTAATTTTAGCTGCTTCTAAGTGTAGTTAATAAAATCGGTGCAACAACAACAACAACGGAAGTTATTATCAGCTCAAGTCATAATCCAATGTCGTGTGTACTCGGATTAGTACAAGAAAGCGTTTTTAGTTGTTGTTAATCTACGCAGTAGCGCACTTAGACTCAACACACAAAGGACTTCTTGTCTCAAAGTCTCAATGTGAGCAAATTGATTTCTAGATTTCTTTTGACATTGCTTGGCATTGATTTGTACAACAACATATCTTGATCTCAGACTTATTTGGGCGGTCGCAAGAGAAGCAAATTTAGAGGCATGGAAATGTCTTCCTAGAAGACGATCACACGTCTACAGAGAATTTAAACGCTTCAGGTCTTACTTACTTTACTTTAGCCACATGGAGACAGCCTACAGCCATTTACTAGTTACTACAAATCTAAAGTAAAGAGCTCAGTCAAAATTCAAAATTCTCTCATACAAATTTTCATTTCTGTTCATTGCATTGCCAAGAAAGAAAATCACATTCTCTACGAAGTCATCAAGTAAACAGTTAAAGAGATCTTACCGTAGTTTTACTTACCTAGCTTTATGAGGTTATACCACCGGAAGCATGCTGGATTTTTTCTGTTCGAAAAACATGGTTGCTACGCCGAAGCGGTCTTAATACAGCCGCACTTGGGTAATTCCAACTTGAGCTCGAGAACTCTTAACTATGTCCTGCCGACAAAACTTTGCTGCGCATCTTCCTATAGTCCTTTTTGAAGACAAATGAAGTTGAATGATTCCTGAATTTTTTTATTTAAAAATCTTTCCGCAGTTCCATTAAAAATATTTTATCTCCTTTGAACTGATTAGAAGTTTGCGCTACTGTACTGTTCGAGAAGCTCGCGAGCTCTATGGTTTACCCCGTTCGTTTTTTGTAAAAGAAGAAATGAGGAGACTACTTTACTGTACAGCTGGGGCTGGGTGTATCTATATCCAAGGGCAAGTCTCAGCAGCAGCATCAGAGCTTCACATTTACTGCTGCTTGACTCACCCATCTGGATGGTGGGTTATGACATTCCATGTGACGGATTTAATAAAGCTTTATTTTGCATAATTTTCTTAATTAAATTTAAGTTATTTGAAGCATTTTTCATAATCCATTTAAGATAGTGCCTGAAGAAATAAAGATTTTACGGGCCTCTTAGTAGCCAAACTTTCCGAAGTAATTGTCCGGAGCTGTGAAAGCTCAACTTATCACATATAAATCACATAAAATCTCTCTAATGCATTCTATTACATTCTCTAAGAATATATATATATATATATATTTTACACTAACTCTTCTTCTTCCCCTTCACAGGACGACTTTCTGTTGCGTCACTACGATCGTGGCCCATGTAAAAATAAACTCGGACATTCCCGTGCCTCTGTCGTGTGGCATAGAGCGCAAGTAATTGGCATTTTTGCCGGTTTTGGTATATTATTATTGGTCGCCTCGCCGCTATTACTATTGGCAGCACCCTGTATTATATGTTGTAAATGTCGTAGTTGTAGCGGCGCAAGAATCGATGAAGGTGATGCCGAAATTGACGAAGCGACAGCGTTACAAAGGTATGTAAAAAAAAAATAATAATAATTTGTATATCATAGATGCCAGCTAAGCAAAAACATTGGTTCAGATTTATTAAAATCTATTCAAAAAAAGAATGAAAATTCGAATGAAACAACAAGATTTCACTGCAGGTGATCGCAATGGCGAAAATTGGCAATCACAAATATATCATAGCATAAGCTAAGAAAAATGAGAAAAATAGCATTAAAATGAAAGGAAATTAATTTGTGTGAATAGCTTACAGGAATATCCAATACGTGGTTTCCATTGTACAGTGCTGTATTTTCACGTCTTTCAAACTTAAGTGTCAAACCAAGCATATTCCGTTGTAGTTTAAAGTCAGGCTCTTTTGAAAATCGATCGCATGTGTCTATTTCTCAAAACTCAAGATTGGGACTTTCTTACGGCACATAACGACATATTTTGGACTTACACCTACATTCAGTCCGTAGTCTAGCTCACATAACAAGTGAAGTCAGCTGACCGCTCAAAACGCTGATTATACGTCAATTGGGTTCTTGAACCGCAAGCAACCGATGGTGATTTTTCGAGCAAAATTTTCTTCAGCGACGAACAATATTTATCACTCGGATATACAAAGAATAAGCAAAAGTATCAAGTTTGGGTCTCCGATAGACTTCATTGAAAATGACAACGGCCAGACGTCACAGTCAATGCGTTATTGTCGTATGGCCGACTATTTTTTTGACCTACTATTGATGAACATGACTTGGACAATATGTGGTTTCAATAATATGGTGCCACATGCCACACAACACGAGCAAATATGGCTTTGTTGCGAGAGAATCTTCCCGGCCACGTGATCTTTCGTCTTGGCAATGTCAATTGGCCATCGAGATCGTTAGATTTGAGACCGTCGGACAGCTCTTTTATTGGCTTACGCAAAAGACTGTGTGTATGCGGATAAACCTGCTTTTAACACTTGAAAGCCAACATTCAAATGTTCACACTTTATACTGATAAAGGAATTTCATGGAAAACCCCGTTTAAAATTTTCAGAGCTCAATTCAAAGTAGGTCAGCGCGCTTCAATGAAATCGAATTTCGAACACGTTTAAAACCTTTTATTCTCTATTCTTAAACTGGTTCAAAGAATTTTAAGCTAATTTAAAAATTTTCGAAATATGCACATTGGTATTACCCCATGACTATCGTGCGAATTGAAGATGAACTGATCATCGTCTTGTTTACGTTTCACTCTTGGCTTTTCCTGGCATTGAGCAAAACCTGCAGCCAATAAAAGAAGAAATTAGCTGTCAACTTCAACTTGTTTGAATTCGCCCTTAAATATACTGAGAAAATAATTTCGATTATCATGAGTCGATCAGCTGTTCAATTTCGCCTTATGAATTCGCTCTGCATAAAGGAAAACTTATCGATATTACGACTTTTATTTGCTAAACGACTCTAGGGCAAATCGATACATATTTCACACTTTATAAATTTATATACCAAATTGTAGTAAAAATAATAAATTTATTAAAAACATTACTTTTCCTTCTCGTTCCAGTCTTTAGAAGGCACCAGCGAAGCGTCAACAAGAATTTCGACCTAAAATCTAAAAAAAAACAAATACACTCCAATTGTAAAAAGCATAAAAAGCTTGTAATATATATTTAAGTATATATTAATGACGAACAAATATATATAAAGTAAAAAAGTTACTTACTGTAAACAAAAAAAACATAAAATTATTTCATTAATAATGTAAAATCACAAAAAATACCAGTTAAAATATATACATACATACATTTATGTTCATATGTGTGCGCGTATGCACAAGACAACAAATAAGAAACGAAAAAAGTAAATAAATAAATGAATAACACGTTTAACAATGTCATTTGTTGAAATATTCATGAAATTTGCAAAAGCAAAAAAGTAAAACCGAAAAGAAATCCTTCGGTCGAAAATAAATAAATAAATAAAAGAAACAAAAAATGTGCATAATTGGTTTATGTTACTTGGAAAAATGTTAAGAGAGAAATATTTAAAGAAAAAATTACTAATGGAAATTGCCGTCGAACATGTGAGAGGAATTAAAGATTTAAAGTGGTTGTGGGCTTAAGTGAGGGTTGGTTTTACTTTCTATTACTGCATACATTTACTTACGATACTACAAAGTTTTTGCTCTATACTGTTGTGAAATACAAAATGTAAATAGCGGAGTGATTGGAAGGTAAAAAATTTATTTACGAGTATGTATGTACATTATTTATAAAATTTTTTTTAAAATTGCATTGAACTTTTTTCTTTTAATAGTTTATTCAAAATTTTAAATAGAAATAAAATAATTCATTTATATTATTATATTTATTTTTATTTCATCTTATTTTATTTTATAGATTCAATTTGAATTTTAATATTAATTTTTATTTTATTTTTAAAATTTTTTTTTAATATAATTTTAACTTTAAATTTAAATTCGATTTTAATTTTAAATTTCATTTTAATTTTGATTTTATTCTTGAATTTAATTTAATATTTTGTTTTTAATGCTATTTGAATTGTTAATTTAATTTTAATTTTAATATTAGTTTCCTATTAAATCAAATCTTAAGTTTAATAATTAATTTTATTTGCATTTTGATTTAAATTTTTATTTTAAGTTCGACAGTAATTTCATTTCAATTTTTGTTTAATTTTAATTTTAATTTAATTTAAATTTAATCTTAATTTTTTATTAAAATGAAATTTTTATTGATTTATTGATTTAATTTTAAATTTAAATTGAATGCTGATTTTAATTATATTTTAATTTTTTACTTAATTTTCAATATAAGATTTTTACTTTATATTTAATTTTTAGTTATATTTTAATTATTAATTCATTGTTATTATTAATTTTTATTTCAATTCTAGTTTTGGTTCTAATTATAATATCAATTTTCGTTTTAATTTTAATTAATGTTAAATTTTAATTACATTTTAATTCATATTTTAATTTAATGTGAGTTATATTAACATTTTAATTCAAATTTTAAGTTTAATTTTAATTGATATATTTATTTTAATTTTCATTTTCGTTTAAATTTCATTTAAACTTTAATTTTAATTGTCATTTTAATTATAGTTTTAAAACAATTTTAAATCTAATTTTTGAATAAAAAAAATTCTGTCTCAATGTATCGTTTAGAATAAAAAATTAGAGTTAATTTTTCAAAAAATATTCTGAATATTATTTACTTGCCGTGAGATTCTGTGTTCTTCGACCAGTTGCTTGTAATTTGTTTATAAAAAAAATTATTAACATATATATATATATTTTCTTTTTTGTAGAAATCCGAGTTTCATTTGATACTCGTTCATTGATCAACTTATCAAATGTTTGTTTTAAATTTTTCAATTTTCAGTTTTATTTGTCAAAATTTCTTTAGTTTTTCAACGAGTTCTACACTTTGCATAAAAAAAATTTGAAATTATTGAAAAAGCTGTGAGTAAGATGGCACAACTTCGGTCCAAAATACCCGAAAATGCTAGAAAAAACTCGAATTGCTTGAATCTTACTCGCAATTTTTCAAGTAATGAGCAATGAACAAGTGTGCGAGTCGAGTACTTGTCGTTCAAATATTCGAGCTGCTCGAATTCGTTCGAACAAAATCTATGCAGGATAATGATTTAACATTTCAAAGAAGCTCAGTTTACAGTCTGTGAGTGTCTGCTGTTATTTTAGGCCTTTATTTATTTTGGAAACTGATTATATAGTATATTAAAATTTTGATGTTTTTTTTTACAATTTTTTTAAATTTTTTAGTAATTTAAAAGTAGTCTCTGTGATTTTTTTTATATTTTTGCTTACAATTTTTCTTTATTGAAAATTAGATTTAATCATTGTACATAGACCATTTTATAATTATCTATAGCCGTTGGTCATTTTTCGGCTTCATAATAGCATCAGTGAAGAACTTCTTTTAGTTTATCGGTGAAGAACTTTACCAAATGATTTTCTGCGACTCTTCGGTCTTTTCCTACCATCAAAAGAGTTTTGCCTAAAGACCAAAAGGAAAGTTTACCTGGTCTGGCGTTATCATTATGGAACACAAAAAATTTTCTATCGATCAACTATGGACGCTTTTTATTTTATTTTATTTTATTTTATTTTATTTTATTTTATTTTATTTTATTTTATTTTATTTTATTTTATTTTATTTTATTTTATTTTATTTTATTTTTTATTTTATTTTATTTTATTTTTTATTTTATTTTATTTTATTTTATTTTATTTTATTTTATTTTTTATTTTATTTAATTTAATTTTAATTTATTTTATTTATTTTCTTTTAAGTGCTTATGGAAAGTTACATAGTTAATTGTTGACCTCAGAGCTAAGAATTAATTGTTATTATTTTGCTTATAAAAAAATTTGTATTTAAGAATTGTATAAAACAAATAATTGCCTTCGAAACTGAAACTCTCTGAAAACCCCGCCACTTTAATGCCACATAAAATTTCGCCAGTGTTCGAGGACGGGCAAGGCATTAATGTTCAGTTTAATAATGTAAAGTGTATATGTATGTATATATAAATGTATGTATGTAAAAGCTTAAACATATATACTATACCAAGTATGTATGTATGTATGTATGTATTGTATGTTGAGTATGCATTATGCGTTAACTAAATTGTGATATTTACAGTGATTCGATTTGTATTGAATATTTTTGCTATTATTTCTTTCATAGAAATCGAAAACTTAGCAAAACGAAAGAGAGTGGAAAACAAAACAAAATAAAATAAAATAAAATAAGAGTTGAAAAAAGTATGAAATTATATACAGTTTGCTTTGTTAAACATGAAAAGAGTTAAAAGTTATAAATAGCAAAGAAAAAAATTAATAAAAGAAAAATGCGAAAATCATGAGCTGCGACTCAATCAAATGCAACCCTTTAGTACAACCCCAGATTTTAAACTATTTTTTTCTTTTAATAATTTGTCTGCTTCAAAGCGCAGTTTTATGTCTGCACGCTGGTGTAGAGAAAATATTTTTTTTATTTAAATTTAATAAAAATATTACAAATTTATTTTGAAAAAAAAAATTATTTTTTTCTATTGTTAATAAATTAATATTGTATATTGAAAAAAGAAATATTTTAAACAAAATTTTAGTGCTTATAAATACCAAATGTTGATAATTATTTTTTTAGTTTAATTTTTTTAAATTCAAAGTTATATTTTAAGTGCTTATATAAAAAAAAAAAAAACAAAAAAAAATTTGTTTACTTAAAACATTTTCGATTTCTTCCCACTTGAACTACTCTATAACTCCTAACTACGAAAAGAGAAAAAATATACGTACATATATATTCAATAAGTAATTAATATTCAACTAACTAAACACTTCTACTTACCATAACTGTTAACTGTAAAGTATTACAAATATATATGGATTTCATTTTATTTTCTTGCGACTTTGTTATTAAAATTAAATAAATTGAAAAAGTATAATGAAAAATTGTAATTGAGAAATAATTAAAAATAAAAATAAAAAAATCTCGCAAAAAAAAATTTCGCTAAAAAATTTAAATTCAATACAAAATATAATTAGACTAGCATTTAGTTTATTTAAATAAATAAATTGTAGTTAGCCACGCCCATTTAATATTGCATTGTATGTATGTATAAACAATTAGTTACGATTGTATGCTATTATTAAAGTTAAAAAAAAAAACAATGAAAATAGTTGAAATAAAAAAAGCACTATAATAAGCATTAATTGATAAATAAAAATATTTAAAATTTATAATAAATTGTAGAATAAACAAGCGCATATGTATATGTAGTTAATTGATACACAATTAAAAAATTCGTATATCAAACCGCAAAATTTATATTACATAAAACACCATACAAAATACTAAAAATTTTCGGCATGCATATGTACGTAACTAAATATATATGGGCTAAGCTACAAATATATGTACTTACTGCATATGTTTGTATGTTTGTATTGAAAAGTTGTTGCTGCAATAGCGCGCATATACGTATTGGCAAATTGTATGCTTGTATGTATGTAGTTTGAAACGCCAATGTTTGTTGTACTGAAACAGAAAATCGCTGGGAATGCATATGTACATATGTATTTATAAGTATGTTTGTCTGTAAAATTGGTTTTTAATTATTTAAAAATATTTGTAATATAATTTAAATTTATAGAATACAATTTAAGTATATCACATTTTATTGTGTACAACAACAGCTTCAACTATTACTCTTATATACTGATACATATATACCGTTCGATTAAATGATTGATGACTTGAATTGTTTTTAATTAATTCGATTTGAATTAAAGTTAAATCTCTATATTATAAACATATATATATATACTTATTTAGAAATTGTAAATGTATTTAATTAAATTAAATATACATACATATATACAAACACACACACACACATGTATAGAAGAACTACAGATATAGTAATAAATATTAAAATTTAAAATCAATAATAAATGAAAAAAAAAACAAATTTTTTTTTTAGAATTTTCATTTACATACGAAGAGAAAGAAAAGGGGGGTAGGTGTAGGTGTCGCATAAAAATTGTGAATTGAAATTTCTGCTGCACAGTTTATGAAAAATTATAATACTGCACTTGCAGCGAAACAGTCTTACCCGGCGTATGAGTAACATTAATAAAGCATTGTTAAAAAGCAGGGTGACTCAAAAACTTTGCAATTATCTTTATACGCACTTAAATTAAATTTGAATTTAAAATAAATTAATTCTCATTCTGTGTAATGAAAAATGAAATAAAACAAAATAAATAAATAAAATAAATAAAATAAAATAAATCAAATAAAACAAATCAAAATAAAATGAAACAAAATAAAATTAAATTAAATGAAATAAATAAATTAAAATAAAATAGAAAAAATTAAATTAAATAAAACAAAATAAAATAATTTAATTAAATTGCAATGAAATAACATAATATAAAATAAATTGAAAATAAAATGAACAAAACAAAATAAAATAAATTAAAATAACTTTAAAGAAATAAATTAAAACAAAAAATAAAATAAAATAGTGTAAAAATAAAATAAAATAAAATAAAACAAAGTAAATGAAAATGAAAAATAAAATAAATTAAAATAAAACAAAGTAAATTAAAATGAAAAATAAAAAAAATCAAAAATAAAAAATAAAAACAAATTAAATTAAAATAATATGAATAAAAAAGTGAAATAAAATAAAATGGAAAATAAAAAGAAAAAATACTATAAAATAAAAAAGAAAACTTAAAAAGAAATTAACAATTAAATAACTAATGTAGAATAAAAATAAATAAAAATTTGAAAATAAAATAACATGAAATAAATAAATCAAAATAAAATAAAAGAGAAAAAGCAAAATTATATAAAACAAAATAAAAGAAATTAAATTAAATTAAAATAATATAAAATAAATGAAAAATAAAATAAATTATAATAAAATAAAATTAATTAAAACAATTTAGAATAAAAATAAAATAAAAAGAAAAAAATTAAAATAAAATAAAGTAAAATAAAATAAAATGAAATAGAATAAAAAAATTAAAAACTAAAATTAAAATAATATAAACTATAAATTTAGCACTTAACACTATGGTTTTAGATTCCTCGTACTTACTGCGGTTTGTAGATGGTTTTGAGCTGTTGGAAAATAACTTTTTAATAATTTATTCGCATAAAAAATTTATTCACTGTTAATATTTGGGCTAGTTTAGGTTTTCTTTATTTTAACTACAGTGTTGTTGTTCTATCGGCTCTCTAACCTCACAAAGGAGGTCCAGGAAACCAGCTTTTTCGAAGGGTTCGGACCAGACAGAGAGCCGGTTTAGAGGAGTGGGTTTTAGTGGACATGCCAAAAGGAGGTTAGTGGCATGCGGGCATACAGAGCATACGTTGGGTAAGCCTCCGACTTTCACATCGAGCTCAAGACGGTTTTCTTCTTTCCATCGGTAGCAGAGGATTTCGTTGTAGGTGTCGTGCAATGAAGAAGTGGGGAAGACCGGTTAGATAGCACTTTATTCTCAAAAATGTGTTAAAAGTATCTGAACCAGATGCTGATATTGAGCAGTCAACGGTGTATGAGATTAATGGGTAACCCTCTGGCGGAGGAGGGAGCTTCGAGTTGTGAAATTTAAACATAAGCGCTAAGAGAACACTACCCTTTGTTAAATCTTGACCTCGAAACTCCATCGATGTTTATCGACCATTGAGGTAGCCCATACATCTCTACAACCCTGTCGGTAATGAGGAGACCTCAATGTCCGATAGTAGCACTGAATGGTTGACTGTGTCAAAGAGTAGAGTTGGGAGTCAAGCTGCGTGGAGCACCGTTGGACCGTGGAGCTCTTAGAGTGTTTACCCATAGAAAGTAGGAGTGTAGAAAGCACTTGAGACTCAATAGAGCGCAGGCAGTACGGCGCCACAAATCGCGTGGTCCATTCCCTATGTGGCCGAAGGCTTTAACAGTAATTAAGATGACCCCTGCCATTGCACTGGTTGCATCTAATACGACTATATCATCTCTCGGCCAACTTTTTCCTTTGGCTTCGATATATATATGTATGTAGGTATACTCGAATTTTAATACATATATGGCTTTATTAAAAATTTTTTTTCTAAATCTTGTTGTCTGATTAAAAATAAAACAAATAGCTTTATATGTTTGAAAATATTAAAATTTTACTTGAGAAATTATAAAAAATTTTGAAATTGCTTTAATTTTAATTTTTGAAAAATACGTTTCACTATCGATAAATGATAGCACAGGGTGACATGGAATACTGAATGTAAGCTGTCAAAATCAGCTGCTTCCATTTTTTTTTCTTTAATACTGCTTTATCGACGTAATTGGTTTGTCCACAATCAAATTGGGAAATACGCCGGAATATTCTACTAAAATATATAAAGCTGTTTAATAATTGAAATACACTTAATAAACTCATAAGCCACATACTTAGTCTTTTATCATGGAGGACCAAGCATGTCCGCGTTGTAAAACGACGAAATATCGCAATCCATCGCTAAAATTGATGGTGAACGTTTGCGGCCATACACTTTGTGAATCCTGTGTAGATTTGCTCTTTCTCAAAGGTTCTGGCTCCTGTCCGGAATGTTTAGTGCCTTTGCGTCGTAATAATTTTCGCGTACAACTCTTCGAAGATCCTATGGTGGAGAAGGAAGTGGACATACGGAAGCGTGTACTACGTGATTACAATAAAAAGGAAGAAGATTTCGCAACACTAGAAGAGTTCAATGATTATTTGGAAGAAATCGAAACAATCATCTACAATCTCTGTAACAATATTGATATTATCGGCACAAATAAACGCATCGAAGCATATCGACGCGACAATCGTGAAATTATACAACGCAACAAAACGCGTATGGGACGTGAAGAATATGAATTAGAGGAAATGCTCGAATTGGAACGTGCACAAGAAGAAGCACGCCGACAGGAATTAGCCGAACTGGAGGCAGAACAAAAGAAGAAGAAGGCACGAGAGAAGGAGGCGCTAATCGATGAGCTAATGTGCAGTGGTAAGGATGCATCCGAGATTGTAAATGAATTTGCTGAAAAAGTTGAAAAATTACGTGAAGAAGAAAAAAAACTGCCGCCACCTAAACCAGCTGATCAATTCTCTACGGGCATAAAATTTGGGCGTTCAGCAGACAATATGTTTCTGCCGCTACCGAAAACAGAGGAAGGACCACTCTATGTACATAAAATACCTACACTCTACATGGAAGGACCAGCAGCACCGCCTAGCAGTGATATTGAGACCAAAGGTTTTATCACACATATACGACCAGAGAATAGCGCTGAACGTGCTGGTGGCTATAAAGCGCATTTGGCTTGTCAGCGTGCATTACAAGAGGCACTGATGGGGTTGTATCATGGTGCGCCGGCAGTTAACTGACCTGAAGTTGCAACGGAGAAAATATAAATGAAAAACCTTTTGTAAAGTAGTGTTTAAAAAATTAAAAAAAAAAACAAATCAATACAGTTTATTTGCGTTAATTTATGACATTATACGAAAAGAAAAGCATAGAAATAAGCTGTAGAATGAGTTAGTGCAGTTAAAGCATCAAACATTAAAGTTTTCTTGAATAACTGCCGGGAAAATTAAAATATTTATAAAAAAAAAAAAACAAAATAAAATAAGTATTTAAAATTTAAAGTTTATTAATAATATTTGTTTTTTTTTTGGCATAAGATGAGCGAGCTGGTCCACTAAAAATTATTGAATACGTTGCTCTTAGAGGCATGTAAAGTGAAGAATGCCTTGCTGAAGGTGTACGAAATTTGCTTCTATACTTCTTTAAAGTGGTGTTGGAGCTTCCGGATATGAAAATAAAGTTTTTTGGTTGGAGTTTTAACGCTGGTTTCTTTATGCTTGGGATGTTAAAGAAATTTTTGTGCTAAATTGGGAAATTGTAGAGGTCTCAACTCTGTTGTTTGAATTCAGTGTATTACTGTCTTATTAAATATGCTAACAATTAAGAAAAAAAAAACAACAACTTTCAATTTAATATATATATATATATTTTTAATCGTAATCATAAGTTTTATTTTTTATTGAATACTTGAGAATGACACGCATTTATTTTAATAATTAAGATTGTTTTAAATACGTTTTGCATTATACATTCTTAAATTAATTAAATCAGACATGACGACTTACATAGAAAATGAAGCTTAACTACATAGGTATATTTTATAATAAATTTTATAATAAACAGAAATTACCTACATCTACATATGTACAAATAAACGTACATACATGTTTAAGGACAAACACAATATTACAAAATTAACATTAAGTGGGGCATATATACTCGTATCTATGTATAAAGGTATGTATGTAAGTGTAAGGGTATTGCAACAATTTAACGGTAATATACACCGTGCATCCTACAATACACAGGTGTGTGGGTTTTTTTTTTTTATATGTATGTATACTAATACGATTTAAGGTAAATGTTTTGAAAAAATAAAAATAAAAAAATTGGCAATTACAGAATTTATAAGGAAATTGTATGCAGTAATTAGATTAATTATTTAATAATATTTTAATATAGTATATTTATATAATATTATGTACGTGTATGTATATCATATGCAGATCATATGTAAAAGGAAATCATCACATGCGTAACTAATACACAAACTACAATCAAAGTTTGGGCAACTCAATGCCAAAAGAGATGTACATATTTATGTACGTTATAAAACAAAAATTGCACCAAATGGTTTAGAACTACAAACGAACATTTTCACAGAAATAAACAGACAAATAAATCAGTGTACAATTTTTTTTTTTTTACAGTACAATTTTGTAAATACATACATATTTAAATACATTATTGCAAAGCACACACAAAGCTAAGGCGCGGGGGTTGTTAGCGGTAAATTGAATTTAAAGAAATACATGATTTTGCTCGTTTAAGCATAATTTTGTATTGAATTTAGATGTTGGTTTGTAAATTTTTTTTGTTTTTCTGAATTCTCAATGCTAAAAATATTAAGACTGTATTTGGGTATTCCAAGTGAACAAATTTGGGTGAACATTTTTAACGTACATAAAACAAAAATAGATTTCGATATTTTTTTTGTGCTCTAACAAAATTTCCACATGAATTTCCCAATAAAACCGATTGTTACGTTAAAAAAATTTAAGCAGATCGCAGAAGACATTTTTAATTTATTTTTTTTTTTTTGTTTCAGAAAAAACTAAATATTTCTTTTGCTTTCGATGCAATTGATTTGCAATATTTTCATTAATATTTATTGATTGCAAAGTATGTAACTATGTATGTGTATTGTATATTTTTTATTACTTTTAAGCTACCATTAATACCTTTGTTTAAATTAGAACAAGCAAAAAAAAATATACATATATATATAAACAAACAAGACAAAAAATTACAAAAATATAACAACAAAAAGTTAAAGGAAAAATATATGAAATCAAATAACAGCAAAATGTTTACAAAATTTCTTTATAAAAAGCTACAAAAAATCAATCAAATAAAATTTTTTTTTTTTTTGCTTTCACAAATTTATTCTCCAAGTAGGTATTAAGCGAAAAAAAAGTAAATAATTTTGTCTTTTCACTACCTTTAGTCTAAGTATTCAATACACACGTTTAATATGTGTCATAATTATAATTTATGAATTTTAAATTTCTTTTTCATTTATTTTCCAAAAATTTAGTCACTTTTTCCATTTTATGTTGTTATTGTAATTTGTTTCATATACATAATAATAATTGTTACATGTTTTTATTTTTAATGTATGTATGCCTATTTAGGTGACACTCATATGTAGGTGTGTGTGGGTGAATTTTCGCGTCTCAAAAGTTTGGCTGCTTATGCTTTATGTTTGTATGTAATTCTTATGTATTATTTGTTTTTTTCCTTTTTTTCTTTTTCTTTCAGTTGGCTTGTCAATAAGATAGTACAGGTAAAATTATGTAATAATTAAAATATATATGTATGCATGTATGTATGTATGTATATATGTAAATTTAAAAATACGTTATTACTGCTTGCCACACGCTTACGCTATGTACGTACGTCTGCGCATAATCACATTCGAAAACTTCACGTCTCACGCGCACAAACGTTCCAGCACCGCCAAACGATCGTTTTGTTGTTGTTGATTGATTGTTATTACTTTTATTTATTTATTCTCTAGTTGGCTATTATTTTTATTTTCTTATTTCTGCTTTTTTTTTGCGAACTAAAATTGATTGTATTGTTTTTTGTTTTTGTTCTTCTTTATTATTTATTATTATTATTATATATATATATATTTTTTTTTCATTTTTGTTATGTATATTTGTTTGTGGCTGCACGTTTACGTTTGAGTTTTATATGTCGGCGTATTTTTTTCACAGACAATTTACTCTCAGTGTATATTTGCGTAATTTGTTGTTGTAGTTCCATTCTAAGTACCAGCAATGAGTTTGTCATTACAGCGAACAGCTTATATGTATACCGATCGATGGCGGTAAACGACTTCCACTAGACCGAATCGTCTGTAAGGAAATTTAGAAAGGATTAATTTGGATTCATTTTGGAGCAGGAATAGTAAAATTAAGTGAGTTTATCAGTGGACAAATGTTTTACCCCACGCACTCAAGAAAACTTAGATAATCCAGTTTCAAAACAAAAAAAAGTGATTAACGAGGAAACTCTAGCAAGTCTTTGTTAAGTCATCTGAACCCTTAAGCCTTCTTTATAATTATAATAAGGAAGCACTATCCTTATACCTTTCATGGCCATGAACACATTAAGAGTATTTCATTTTAAGTTTACGTATTCATTTTACAGCAGAAAATTTGACCGGAATCTAAGGATTTCACGGATTTTTGGTGACAATTTCGTGCCTTTAAATGATTTCTAAACGAACATCCTTTCACAGCCTCATATCTGCGAAAATCGGCGCACGGAAGCTATTTGTTACGAAGTGTTACAATTGAGTAATGACACTGATTCCATAAAAACAGTATATTTCAAAATTATTCTACAACTCTGCCATTCCCTCAAATTAGTCGCCTTGGGCAGCTGTACAACGATTTCAGCGCGTTTTCCATGCTTCGTAAGATTCCTGGAACGCTTTGAGTGGAATGTCCGCGAGTACCCTCGTCACGGCCGCCTGGATGTCCTCAATCGATTCAAAATGGGCTCCTTTGACGAACGGTTTTTTCTCTAGGGAATAAAAAAAGTCACAGGGTGACATATCGAGCGAATAGAGCGGTTGTTGCAACACGGCGATCCCTTTGAAGACACGCTGAGGGCGATGTGGCACGGCGCGTTGTCGTGATGAATGATCTAGTTACGGCTATTAAGCCAATATTTCTCTAAGGAGTTATAACGCAAGGCTCCTAAGGTTACTGACAAAGTAGTCACGACTGCAAGCAGCTAAAAGGATATTGCCTATTGCCGTCATAAGCCTCTAAATTGGGTATGCTGGGCGTAGAGACAGTGCAGCATGTAGGATATTCAGTCGGCTTTATAAAAAAAACCCTAAATGCCTGCTACAACTTGCTGTAAGAATATCAATTCTCAATCTAGAAAGACAACAGGAAGTAAGTGTAGCAGAACAAGGCTTTGGTCGCACATAGTGAATCGAATAATTTAACCTAAGCATAGTAGTTTGGACCAACTAAAAAAAAATATGCAAGTAATTAAAGCAGTTTTAACTACAAAATATTTCGAAAATTTGTAGGTTATGTTCGATATTTGCCCCCACTAAAACGCTAAATAGTTTGCAGACTCACCATGATACCACCATTTAGTCTTTTTCGGATTCTTATTACAGGTCTTTACGTATAATGTATTATCTGGTGGACGTTTCTTTTCGCGGCAACTGCTCAACATCGATGCTATGCTAAGACAGACAGATTGTACTGATAGCGCTGGCGACCAATCTTCTGTTAATATAGAAAGGCAGATATGTCCATTGGAGTAGACGTGCGGATGCACGGGGATATTATTGCCAATAAACGTCACCTAAAGTAAAAAAAAATTTTTTAACTTTTTATAGCAACGAGATATTAACAAAAAATTAAATTTCACAAATAATTAATTACTAAATATTAATAAAAAAAATATAAAAAATATGTATACAAAGAAATTTAATTCCGAAAAAAACTATTAAAAAAACTATGAATCAAAAAGCTATTCAAATCCAATGTAAATAACAAAGATTAAATTAAGACTAAAATTAAAAAAAAGTTAAAAATAACAGGAATAATAAAATGATTTAAAAATAAAATTAAGAAAAAAATTATATATAACTTAAATAAAAAAAATATAGAATTTTTTAAAAAACAAATATTTAAAAATCTTAAAATAAAGATTAAAAAATTATTAAGAAAGTTTTATAAAAATTTTTGGAATAAATATAAAAAATTGAATGTAAATATAAAAAAAATTATTGAGAAATTAAAAAAATTTTATAAAGAAATTTGAAAAAATGAAATCTTCAAAAATTAATAAAAAAACTAAAATAAAAACAAAATAAATAAAAAATTAGAATTAAAACAAAAATTTTAAGAAAAATTAATACAAAGAAAATTAATAATAAATCAAAATCTTAATGAAAAATTTTAAAACAAATAATATAAAACTGAATCCTGAAAAAAACTAACTAAACATGAAAAAAAAAACTAAATTAAAAAAAAATTATTAAGAAATAAAAGAATAAAAATTTAAAAACATAATATATCAAACTTAAATAAGAAAATATGGTTAAATCCAATTAATATACAAAAAAAATATTAAGAAAAAAATTAAACGCAATTAAAAATAACTATACAAGTAAAAATTAAAATAAAAAAATTAATGGAAAAACTAAAAAAAAAAAAATAGAAATATATACAGGAAAATTTATATAAGAAAAAAGTTATTAAAATAAAATAAAAATTATGTATAAATTAAAATAAAGCTAAAGAAAAAATGACTTAAGAAATAATAGAAAAAAATTTAGAAGAAAAAAATTTAAAAAAAAAAATTATTATATGTGATATATTAAAAAGTATTTATTAGAAAAAAAAATAAAATAAATACAAAATCATTATTATAAAAATTGAAACAAGAATGAGCTATTAAAACTTAATAATCATATGCATTAAAAAATACAAAAATAAAGTTAAAATATGAAAAAATATTAAGATATAACCAAAATAAAAGAAAAAATATTAAAAAATAGTATTAAACAAAATATAATATTAAAAAAAAACCAGACAAAATACAGACTATAATAAAGTATAAAAAATAATGCGAAAAACATAAGAAAATTAGAAAACGAATTTTAAGAATTATTCTGAAACAAAAATAATTGCCGGTCGCTCATACCTCTGGCGAGTCGAAGGGATATTTATTGTTGAATTTGAAAAGTAGCTGAAAGTGTTCACCCTCATATAGAGTACCCTCGAAACCGGCTATATTTATTTTCCATCTGTTAAAGAAGGTGGAAAAAAATTATTAATTTTTTCATACAATTTAATTTAATTAATTAATTAATTTTTTTTTTTCAAAATTCAACAACTTTCAACTTACTCTGATAAATTTTGTCCTATATTATCGGTATCAACGGTAACGCCCGGTGGTGGCTCTTTTATCAGCGACATCAACTCTTTATGTAATCTTCTCTGTAAATAGAAAAGAATGGAAAATAAAATTAAAAATTTACAAAAGCAAGACTGAAAAATATTTATTATTGCTTAACAGCACAAAGGCATATAACATATCATTTAAAAAAATTTATGGCGAAAATTGTTAAAGGAGTAAAGTGACACATAATCGTTTTGCACTTGGCCTTCAACTCATTAACCGATATATGAAATTGTAGGAGTTTAAGGTTCAAACGAAAATTTTACATCAAATAATTGCAATACATATGTATACATGTATACATATGTATTTATGTGCTTGACTTTAAGTCATTTGAGGCACTTAATATTGTCGATAAAAATATCGATGTAAAAAAAATTGCGATAGTGAAATTTCTTAATTAATCATACTTAAATGCATTTGCGGCGAGATCGTAAGAGCTCTGCACAAATAAATATCAACGGTGACACTGTGATTTATGGTAAATATTTGCGATATTTTCGCGTGTTTTTTTTTACAATTTTTCTAATTTTGATACAACTAATAAAAGTAAGTAAAGCAATAAAAGAACTCGAAAAATGTGGTTGACACAATGAACAATATAAAAAAAATATATATATATTATATTATATATAGATATATTTAGTTATCTTACTGTATGTACTTTCTTTGACGCAAATACGTCAATAAGCTTTTATAGCGTACAAACGTACGATAAGATAATTTATTTTATTTTATTTTTCACAGCAATGTACTCATACAAACGCACAAACATATACCGTATTTTTCATGTACAAGCAACTTAAAATTTTCTTAAGACTCTTTAATTGAATTTGGTAAACATTTGTTTATTACTAGTACATATGTATGTATGTAGATATTTATGCCGAAAATTAAGGTTTTATTGTTTTCGTCGATTTTCAACAAAATGGAAGTGAAAAAGATACACTTAATAATTGCTTAGTCAACATCGTTATCAATGCGTGGTGTATTGATAAGATAGCGGTAATAATTTTATAATATCGATTAACTGTAAAAGTGTGTATGTACACGACGGAGGCACATAGAAAATTTAGATATTTTACAATAATTTTCATAACTAGTATATTTCAGGCGCAATTATAATTATTTCAATAATGAATTCATTTTATTTATTTACTTACTTTTACAAGAAAAACAATATTTTATTACTCCACCAAATTGGCAATAAAAATTATTTAAATAAAATTTGTTATATAAAAAAAAAAATTTTAAATAAAAAAAAAGTTGAGTGCGCAAAAAATGGAGAGCATAGACCAAATATGCTTGAATTAACACTCAAGTTAAACTCAAAATAACACTCAACACTCACTTTTCCAATACGAGTCATTTATATTTCTATTATCCAAAGTAGCCAGCTCGTCATAGTTTTATTTTAGAAAAAAAAAATTATCATAATGCAATGTAATTTTGCATGACAATTGCAATTTAGCCATTTGAAATAGCTTTGCATTTGTTTATTGAAAGATGATTAAAAAAAATTCATTATCAAAAAAGCTCTACAGTTGATATTATTAACTACTCTATATTTCAAGTGCAAAAATTATAATTTTTTTACTCAAAACCAGACTACTTTGTAATCAAATATAATTTCGCTCTATTGTCATATTACAGTTGGATATCTGAGGTGACTGAGGTATGGCCGAATTTGCATATATATATACATGTATGTATGTATGTATTGTATTGTACGTATATTGTCGTGTGGTATGTTCACTTCTTACGAGATCAAAGTTATATTAATGCTTGGTAAAATATTAAGCAAAATTTTTAATATGTATGGCATTTAACGGTAGTCTCAAAAATCTTTAAGTTTTCTTGTAAGTTCGTGAAAATTACCGTTTTTTAATACATTCGATCATGTTTTTTTTTTTTAATTTCAAAAAACGCCATAGTTTTACAATATTTCTATAAATAAAGAAATTAAATAAATAAAAGTTGTTTACGCCCCAAAAAAAGTTTAAATATAATAATTGAGAACAGCAGAGAATATTAAAATCCCCGAAACAGCTGTCACTTCTACTTCTTTGTTGCTTTCACTTAATTTAACTCTATTTAATTTTGTTTGTTTTATATTATTTTGCTTTATTTTATTTAATCCTTTTTGTTTTTGTTTTATTTAATTTATTTTAACTTAATCTCATTTTGCTTAATTTTAATTAATTTCGTTTTATTTTATTTAATTTAATTTCGTTTTATTTTATTTTATTTTATTTTATTTTTTTATTTCATTTCATTTTAATTTATTTTATTTAATTTTAGTACTTTTTTTATTTTTTATTTTTTTAAATTTTTTTTTAATTATTATTTTATTTTTTTTTTATTTTATTTAATTTTGTTTTGTTTTGTTTTATTTTATTTAATTTAATTTCGTATTGTTTTATTTAATTTAACTTAATTTCGGTTTTTTTTTATTTTATTTAATTTTATTTCATATGTTTTATTTTGTTTAATTTGTTTTATTTTATTTAATTTTGTTTATGTAATTTAATTTAATTTTATTTTGTTTCATTTAATTTTTATATTTTATTTTATTTTATGTCATTTTATCTTTATTTTCAATTATTTCCTTTTATTTGATTTTGTTATATTTAATTTTACTTTTAGTTTATAATAATTTCATTTATATTTTTTATTTTTAATTTATAATAAATTAATTTAATTTAATATTATTTGCTTCATGCTATTGTATTTCTATGTTATTTTATTTAATTTCATTCGATTTTGATTTTCATTCTTTTATCTTATTTCATTTTATTTTGTTTTGTTTAATTTTATGTTATTTTTATTTTCAATGGTTTCAGTTCATTTAATTTTTTTTTAATGTCATGTTATTTTTATTCCCTTTAATTTAAAGTATAAATAAATTATATTTAATTTTGGTACATTTTTTCATTTACTATATTTTACTTCCATATAATTTTATTTTTAAAAATCTATTTAATTTAATTTTTTTTCATTTAATTTAAGTTTATTTTATTTTCTTTATATTATTTCATTTCATTTTGCTTCGTCTTATTCTATTTTATTTCATTTGATATTTTAATAAATTAAAGAAAATATATTTCATTATTTTTTGCTATTCAATTTTTTTTATTAATTTTTCTATTTTATTTATTTGTTTTATATTTTTTTTATTTTTGTTTTCTACTATTTTTTGTTTGTTTGATATTTTTTATATTTTTTTTATTATTTATTTTATTCGCTTCAATTTTGTTTTTTTTTCATTTTGCTTTATTCAGTTTTATATTTTATTCTTTTTTTAATTGTTTATGTAGCCAGTTTTCATTTATTATTTTATTATGATTTTGTTTTAAACATTTCGTTTAGTTTCAATTTATTTGGTTTCACATAAATTCATTTTATTTCTTAATATTTCTTAAATTAATTTTTACATATACATATGTATATATAGTTACAATTCATGCCATTTTATTTAGAATAATTAGATTAATTTTATTGTGCTAGAGTATTTTTATTGACTCGTAATGATATCAGTTTAAATTTAGTTTATTATTTTTTATTGTATATTATATTGCATAATATTAATATTATTTGTATTTATTTAAATTATTTCTATATAGTTTTATTTATTTATTTTTAGCCATTTTTGAATTTACTTTATTCTATTTTTTTTTTATTAAATTTTTTAAATTTTCTTTAATTTTTTATTACATTTGAATTCTTTTAATTTATATTAGTTATATATTTTTAGTTTCCTTTCGTCATACACTTTTGTGAATTTTAATATTTTATCAATCATTGTAACCCACTTACAAACACACACACACATATATATACAAATACATAATAATAGATGTATTTCCTTTTATGCCTTTCAATGTCATTACATACGTACATACGTACGTATGTATGTATGTGTGAGTTAGTTGAATTGAATAACTCTGCATCAATACTTGCCTCCCATCGTGTATTGTCCAACACCAACGGCTTGCCGCATTTTGTACGCGGCTCTTTCGTCACCTGCGGTTCACAGGTGATGATTTCCGATTTTGGTAATTTGTCTTTTTTGCTCTTGAATATTTTCAACATTTTGTCGTGCACTTTATAAACACTTGCACAGTGTTAATATTTTTTTTTTTCTAGACTAGACTAGTTTGTTTGTCTGCTCTAATTTCTTAGCACCAAATGTAGTACAAAGTTTATTTATATTGTATGCACTGCTAGAACAAATGTCTGTATGTATGACTGTATGTATGTACATATGCGACGGCGACAACATACAATGTGCAATTTATATTAATAATTTTTTAATTATTTTTTATGCAATATATTGCACTTTGTAATATTGATATCATTTTTCTATAGATTTGCAGAAAAAAAAGAATTATTTAATTTCACTTTGTAATTCAATTAACTGTTAATTAAGGCGCAAACACCGCAACACTGAGTGGCTTGAATTCTAAGTACGGTCTTTCTGGCGTATGGCGAGTGACGCGGGCGTATAAACTTGTATTAGATAATATGCAATTATTGAGCCACTTAGCGGAAATTTTTTGTTTTTTTATTTTCTTTTTTTCGTTTTGTTGTATAATTGTAAAACACTTTAGTCAATGCCTTAGCAATTTAGCCGCATTAGAATTACAAATTGGTTTATTTTCAGCAACAATAACAGACACAGACGCGCGCACACACACACAAGCAGTGGCTGGCATCACAATTATTGCACAAATCTTGTCGGCAAATTGCAATTAATTTCCTTTACTGCGTCCCACCGGCGTTGGCACACTCGACTTTGGCGTCATACAATGTTGCTGCTGTTCAGTTTTGTTGGTGTTGTTGTTGGCGTTGCGACAATATGAAAGCTTTTTATAGCGCATACTTTTTCATGAAAAAATCAAGCTTTATAATTTATTTATTTGCTTTTTATCAAATACCGTTGATAATTATTGCAATAAAAAATTTTTATTATTAAAATCGATTTCGAACCGTGTAGATTTAAAATAAAAACATTTCGCTTCAATTTAATTAATTTTTATATTTTTTGCAAAATGCTCCGCTTGAACGCTGCCGTTCACTTTGACGTACCAAATACGAATATACGCTTGCTGCTTAGGGTACTTGCTAACAACACCTGAGGCACCAAGTCAAAAAAAATAAAAAATAAATAAAAATAAAACTAATAAAGAAATGAAAAAAATGAGGAAAAAGTAAAAAAAAAAGTCAAACAAAACGAAATGAAACATCAACGCTATCAGCAGCAGGCCACACATGTTTGTTTATAAACATACAAATGTACATATGTACACTCGTATGTACATACATATGTACAAAAATACACGCTCGTTTGGTGTGGCTCAATAATTTTGCTGCGATTGCAAATTAGGCTCCTCTTTCCCTTTCTTGTTTTTTATTTAGACTATTTTTTTACTACATTATCAGTCAGTGAGACCCCTTCCTTTCTCTTGCTCTATTTACTCACATTTTCATTTGTTCTATTATGTTTTCATATAAAAAAAGTATTTCTTGCGATTTTATATATATAAAATACATACATACATACATAGATATGTATGTTTGTGTAAATGTTTACACTACAAATGGGATTAAAATTGCTGATAGCGCGTATACATACATATGTACATATATAGATGAAAAATAAAGCGAAAAGAAAAAGCATGAAAAGGAATTCTCTCATTCCTGGCTGTCTGCTAACTACTACAGTGATGCGGTGTGTTTTTTATATCGCTGTTCCAGTCATTATCATCTCGATTATTAGCACGCTTGATTGATATGATTTTTTTTTGGCATTTCCGCAACAAAACATAAAGTCTGGCATTTATATCAGACCAAAATAAATGGATTTTGTTTATAAATACAATTTTTTTTATTTCAAAAATAAAAAAGAAAATAAAAAAGAAAATAAAAAAAAAATAAAAAAATATACCAAATTATAATATTGAATAGCAACTAGCTAGCTGCTTTAGTGACGTGACAAGCACTTTGACAGTCATCCGATTTCCTCTTCCCCTTCTTTTTTTTGGACTTGTATTAAGTCATTACTAAGTGCTATTCAAAGAAGTTTCAAAGCAAGTGGCGTCTTCGGCCATATAGAGATAGTGCTATAGTGTCTTTCCATTTCAATGATGTTCGGTTTCAACATTTATTTGAATAATATAAATATAAATGCATAATTTCCAATTTTCATCCGAACTTTTCCACCAATTTGTAATATTTTTACAAAAAAGGGAGGTATCTACAGTTTATTCCAGGTCGCTTCTTAACGTCTAATGGATAATTACAAATCACATTACGCACCGAGGGGAGAGTCCAAATAGAAAAATTAATTTTCCATACTTTGAATGTTGGTCGAACCAGCATTCGAGCTGTGGTCTTCCGAATGGCAGTATGCAATGCCAGGAACTCGTCTATTGCGACCGTAATTTTTGACACATTTTTTGAACATAACCTCAGATCTGAAAAGTAGGCCATACGAGTATATACATATGGTTCGATCGGGGATGTTCTGACTCAAAAATTCGTTTGCGTTCTAAGTTTGGTTCAAATATCTTAAAAACCTAGGAACTATCGTTGCTCGTTGTGCAGATCCGATCTGTATAAATTTTGGTGTATCGCACTTTTAGCCTTCGGGTATGTCAATAAAAAGTACAAAAATGGGTTTGAAATGATAGATTTTGGTTTTCTATGTTATTAGTAAAAAAAAATAATAATTCCAAGTTTTGTTTTTTTCATTCTCCTTTCTCCATGCAGATTTAAAGAGAGTCAGCATAAATTCAGAATGAGAGGCTCTATGAGGTTTTAAAACCAAGTGAGAGGCGAGACTGCATCGCCGTAGTTTGCTCGTAATCTCAGGTGCTCTCACGAGGTTATTGTAATCAATACGAGTCAGTAAATATGTAGTGTAATAGGTGAGTTTGCTTTTAATATCAACTTTCGGCAAACTTGTGTTTTATCTCTCAACATAGTCTATTCTTAGTTCTAAACATTTAGACCAGTGTTTTTCTCATTTAATTCTTCCTTTCAAATACATTTTTCTCAAGGTCTTCAAAATAAGCTTTTCCTACCATGACGACTGCTTCAATTGATACGAATCTCTTACAGTCCAATCATTTCTTCAATTTTGGAAAGATTAAATGGTCCGAGAGTGCTGAATCTAAAGAATGTGCTGTGTAAGGTAGAAGTATGTAGCTCATTTTATGAAATTTTTATCACGTGTACGATCGTGCCATGACATGAAGAAATAATTTTTCCTTCTTTGCAACATGCGAATGTTTTCGCTGCAAGTGCATATCGTATACAACAAAAATCTTGGTGATTGTTGTATCCTCGTATATTACAAAAGAAAAAAAATGAGTTTGTTGGTCGACATTCCCACCTTGGCCTTTTTGACGCCCGTTCTCTCGGAAATAACCCATTGTTTAAATGGTTCACGTTGCAGCTTAACATCGCCAAATAGTCTTTTAAAGTGAACAATCACATCAGATATAAATATATGTAGCCTCTTTGTTGAGATGCCTACAATTCCAGCCACTTCACATAGTTTCCTATACGCCAAATTTAAAAAGTCTCAAACTCAACCCGTGGCCTTCGTATAATCATTGTTTTGGCACTCATTGGCATACTCTTTCAAGCCATTCGTTCGAATATGCCATTCAAATTAACTTTATGTGGATAAATAATTGACAAATTTAGCTCTTCCCGAATGGTGTAAGTTCTGAGCAGCTATTAATGCTCACAGCACAGCTGCTGAAGTCTGATTCGAGTTCTACAAAGCTGAAATCACAATAATTCTCAAGCCCTAAGTCATTGGAAAATCTGATAATAGCAAAACGACCGTTGAGTGCAGAAAACCATGATGTTTCCTCACCAAAATAAAAGAAGTGCGAAAATTCTATTAACTTATCTACATAAATATTATTACTCTTTTTTCTGTTTACAGCAATCTCAACTCATTTTGTTAAACAATTAACACCAACAATTAAGTGCGTCAATGACAGTCTAGCGAAAAAAAATAAAAATAAATACAATATTTTTTTCTAATACCAAATAAACGTTTGCGCCATATATAGGCGATCTACTCTGCTGACGAACATTGAAATCTCTGCTTGAGATCACTTGGTCAAGGTTGACTTTGTGGGGGGAAAGTCACAGGTGACTCAAGAGTTTTTGTTTAAAGCTCATTGAACTCATTGCAAAAGTTTATGTTAATGAGTCTTTAGTCAATATTTAATTTTTGTCAATTTTATGGTTTATTAAGAAAGTACGAAATCGCCAAAAAATATAAAAAATTCTTCAAAACATAAATTCATATATGCATTTATATCACTTTAACGCAAGTTTCATAAGAAGCTAATTACGGTGCAGAATTAAAAAAACCAACAAAAGTGAGAAGAGCTGTCATCGACATACCAAAGACTTTATACCTTTCGCGACCAGATCGAATGTATGGTATTTCATTTTAGGGCTATCTGAACAAATCGGTTGTATATCCACTTCGAGGTTTCAACAGTACAGGCCTGTATTTTGACATCTGTCAAACTTAAAAGTAAAACTAAACACGTTTTATTTTAGTTGAAAGTCAGACATTGATGAAAATGAATCGCTTAACTGCATGACGCGTTTAAAACCTACACAATTAACTACAAAAATGTTGAATCAAACGTGACCACGTTTCGTGCTTTCAGATGAGATTATTGTTCACATAATCATCCAACCACTCAAGCAATTGGTAAAACTTTAAAGAAATTTGAAGAGACTGAATCGGTCTGGTCTGGTAAGGTCTGTACATCATCGTTCTGCTCGTTCCACTTAAAATATAGCTACTGTAAGTGAAGGTGTAGAGGAAAGCCCGCATGTGTCTATTTCTCGGCGTTCACAGGAGCTGGGACCTTCATACGGCCCATTATGGCGTATCTTGCACTTGGACTTACACCAACATCCATATAAAGTCCAGCTCACACAAATAACTGAAACCAGCGGAGTACTCACAACGCCAAATATACGTCGTTTGGATGCTTGAACGACAAGCAGTGGCCACGATTTTCAAACAAAAGTTTCTTCAGTGACGAGGCACAATTCTCACTCGTGGTATACACATTTGGGGGCTTCGAGAATCGTAAAATAATTGAACTAATAATTGAAGGGAGGCCAAAGCATCCAAAAAAAAAAAAAAAAATTATTGCTTCGTGTGCTCTTTGTTCCTGAGATGTGATTGGACGTTACTGCTTTGAAAACGACAAGACTTTCAAGTCAAGGCGGATCGTTACGAACCGACTATTGAAGAACATGTGGACTTGAAGAATAAGTGGTTTCAACAAGACCGATCGGTATAAATTTTTATGGATTTTGGCCCTTCCTTCCAGTACTTACAAACAGATTTCATGTGGATGAAAGGTATTAAAATGTCAATAATTTTATCAGACAAAAAACTTGCGATTTGATTATCAAAAACAAAAATAAAATGCAATAAAAAGATAAGTGCAAATAAAAATAAAAATAAAAAATGCGCAAATGGTATGATAAGATACGTTTCGGCGAGCTCAGTAAAGTTAAATTGAAAGCCAAAATATTTATCAACTAAAATAACATTGATAAGAGGCTAATAAATAATTGCGGCAAAAATAAAAAAATAAAACAAAAATTAAGTATTTACAAGTAGTATTAATTAAAAAGATATTTTTAATTAAAATTACTTGAAAACTTTGTAAAAGACACTCGCTACTCGCTTCTAAGAAATCTATCACCGTTAGACGTAATGGCAACACTCGCTGAGTGCGATAGTCGTGTATAAACGAATAACTCAAGAACGACGAGTGATGATTGTGATAATTGTAGGCGGGTTAATGAAAGAAATGTGAGTATAATGAAAGGTCAAAACTCAATTGTAATAAGATTTTCAAAGGCACTTTAATGAGAA